ACTTCTCAACTGTGAATGCACCAAAATTGGAAGGGTACATCAACTCTGCTGCCCCTTTACAGTTACATGGCAATTTTATCCTTTTGTCATAATGACTAAAGATTTCCAAAGTATGGATCATGTATGATGGAAAAGAAAATTCAAAGAGAATACTTAATTCTTTTAGCTGAGACATAGCCCACTTCCTTAAGTATCAGAATTAGTAATAATGCATGCAATGGGTATGTTTAAATACTTCTTCTGTACTTAGATGTCTCAAAGAAAGCAAAATGGTCAAAATAAAGGCAGCAGAAATAAAAACAGAATCATTATTCCCACAAACAATCCAAAATTTCATCATGAAACAAAATAATACTAAAAGATGAACCAAAGATATTTCTTGAACTTTGGAGTACCAATCTCAAGAATAATGCTAGAGACAAGAGCATGAATGATATCTTGACAGACTATTATTATACTTCATACTGCTATGAACATGAGGAGGGGGCAGGACAGCAGGGTTGGAAAAACATATAGGGGTGATCTCCAGAGCTTACCATCCAGAAGAAAAATAGCAGATGTGAAAGAAAATTCAGAGAACCACACAGTGCTGCATTTTCTTATCTTTCTTTTTTTAAAGATTTTTTAAACTGATTTTTAGAGAAAGAGGAAAGGAGGAGAAGAAGAAACATCGATCAGCTGCCTTCTGCAACCTGGGTCTGTGCCCTGATGAGGAATTGAACCAGCAACTTTTCAGTGCACGGGTTGATGCCCAACCAGCTGATCCACACTGGCCAGGGTAGTGCTGTGTTTCAACAGAGGCGTTTCAGTAGCACAATTCAGAGAATGAAGCAATCTGGGCAGGATTTAGACAGGCAGAAAAGAGGAGGAGCTCAAAGATGGGAGAACAAGACAAGGCAAGGCCTCAGAGGACAGGAAAGTACACATAATTGTGGGGAAGTGAAGGAAAATGAACTGGACTAGAAAGGAGGTGGAGTATCATGGTAACTGGAAAAAAAAGACAGGAGAAAACAGAGCTAAGCTGAAAGCAAGGCAAAATTTGGACTTGAATAATTAACCGGAAAAAAAAGGCACTGCAAGTTCTGAAAACTGGAGAATAGAGCAATAATGTTGAGTTTTAATGAGGCTGCATATTTTCTTATAACAAAATACATATAAAATGCATAAGTGGAAGAGAGAACTTTCAGAAAGGCAGACCAGTTATGAAAACATGAAAAACAATGCACGTAAAAGGTAATATGAGTGATGGCACTAGGAACAGAAAAGGTTATTCCAAGGGTTATTCTGAAGAAAAAATTACAGGACTTTGTGGGAAATAAAATAAAAAGGTCAAAATAGAGTAGAATAAATAATTATTTCCAAGTCTCTTGCTTAGGAAACGAATCAACCAATTAGTTATAGAAGAAAAGAAACAAGATAGCTAAAAAGAAAAATAATCAATATCCTAAAAGGTTTTTTCATGAATAATTAGTACATGCATTTAAGTATCATATCAAAAAGTATATCTTTTCTACCCCAATTTCCACAGTCTTCATATTGGATAAATAGCATTTTTTTTCTAGTGTAAAATATATAAAAATAAATTTATCAGAAGTGTTTTCAGTTTCACTTCCAAAGAAAACCTGACATGACACATAAAGACATCTAATGAGACTTTTCTATTCTTCTAAATAGTGTTGGGGAAAAAATTATCTTAAAAAGGTAATGAAACTGAAAGATTCGTGGTGAAATTCTTGAACAAAAATTGAGATTTTATTATATTCATAAAAGTTCCCACCTACTCCATTTAGTCATCAGAACTGTGATATTAAATATAGAAAAAGCTACAGTGACACTTCTTGGTTCTTTAAGCAGGTACACTGTCAGCTGACACACGGAAAAGCAGTATCCACGGCTAACAGCAAACCAATCACAGAACAGCAGAGAAGCATAAAATGGAGATACAAAAGTAAAACGCTACTGGTAAATTCTTTCCTTTAAAGAATTATCTTTAAAACCTGTGATCAAAAAGCTGAGGTAGATAATGACACAAATCATTAAATGTGTTGAAAGAAAATACACACATGGTTTGATTTCATACATTTGATATTAAATTTTCACATATGTGAAACTGGCCTATAATTTTCCTCCAACAAAATCTCTGTCTGTTTTTGGAATCAAGGTTGTACTACTAGCCTCATATAATAAATTGAAGAACATAATACAACTTTTTCTGTTCTCTGAGTTTGTAAAAGATTAAAATTATCTATGTCTTTAATGTTGGGCAGAATTCCTTAACACCGTATCAAGTGCTTTCCTAGTAGGAAGACTTTTACCTACTGACCAATTTCTTAAAAAGTTACAGGACTATTTGGGGTTTTTTTATTCTTCTTTTTCAATCAGTGTGGTAATTTACACATTCAAGATTCATGTGCATGATAAAGCTTGAGGAACACTACTTCAGAACACTCACTCCTATCATATCCAAAATTACATGCTACTTTTGTCCAACATTTCAGTTTGTTTTTTTAAACCCTACAATTTCAACATTACAACCATGGTTTTACACAGACAATATTGTTTAGATTTTCTTTGCTCACCAATCCTTTCTGGATCTCAGAAACTCTCCTGAAATCCTTTTTCTCTCCCTGTAATATAATTTTTAGAAATTTTATTTTTTTACTGGTACAAAACACAGTCAGCTTTTGTACGTCTAAAAATGTCTATTCTGCTCTTCTGGAAAATAGTTTTGCTGGGTATATAATACTAAATTGACAGTTATTTTTGTTTGGGCACTTTGCAGATATTCTTCCACCCTCCTGTGGTTTCCATGGTCACTGTTGAAAAGGGTCACTTGTTAATCTAATCATTGTTCTTTCATAAGTAAGTCTTCTCTCTAGCTGTGTTTAGGGTACCTGTCTGTCTCTGGTGTTCATCATTTTCTCTGTAATATATTTGTATAAGAATTTCTTTAGCCCTGGCTGGGTAGCTCAGTTGGTTGGAGTATTGTCCTGTATACCAGAAAGGCTGTGGGTTCAATCCCTGGTTAGGGCCAATGGATGTTTCTTTCTCACAGGATTGTTACTCTCTCTCCCTCTCTTTATTCCTCTCTCCCCCTGAAATCAATAAAAACATATCCTCGGGCCCTGGCCAGTTTGGCTCAGTGGTTGGAGCATTGGCCTGCAGACCAGAGAGTCCCGGGTTCAGTTCCCACTAGGGGCATGTATAAAAAAACAAAAAAAAAAAAAAAAAAACATATCCTCCGGTGAGGATTAAAAAAAAAAAGAATTTCTTTATACTTGTCTGCTTGAGATTTGCTCTGTTTTCCTAAATATGCAATTTCATATGTTCAATCAATCCTAGTAAATTTTCAGTTATTGTCTCTTTGGACAGTTAGTGCCTCTCCGTACTCTACCAGCTCCTTCTGAGATTTGGATTAGACCAATCAGAATCTTCTCTGTCTGTCTTCTATATCTTAATAAATGCCATCTCTTTCTTTTCTATTCTATATTCTGCATACTTTCCTCAAATCCATCTCTCAATTTGCTTTCTCTCTTTAACTATATCTCAGTTGCCAGTAAAGTACCTACTAAGTTTATCATTTGAATTATTTTTTCACTTCTGGAAGTACTATTGGTTCTTTTGCAAATCCATCTGCTCACTTTTTAGCATGCCTTGTTCCTTGACATTACTGTCTACTCTCTCTTTACTTTTGAAACCATATAAACACGTATATCATATTTCACATCTAATTCCAACAGTCACTCATGGTGCCTTGCTTCTTGATAGTAAGATCATGTTTGTAAAATTTTCTTTGGTCAGTCCTCTGGGGTTCTCTCTCCCCTTCCAGGAAAAGAGAAAACAGGCCTGCTGAGGATGGAAAAAGAGAAGTAAAGGCCTGCTTTTCACTTCCACCCGAAGGAATGGAAGTGAAGCGGCAAGTTCTCCCAGCAGTGGTGAGGACAGAGCAGCACACTCCAGGGAAGGCTGAAGAGACACGGTGCCGTCCTGACAAGCTACGCAATGGGCCCAGTGCAAAATGAAAACGTGGGATGTCTTGTTCATGAATTATTTAGAATTTCAGAACAGTGAAAGCAGGGCATTAAACCAAACGTGGAGCCTTCTAAATGCAGGGATCTCAGACACCCATGGGGCCCTGACTCTTAAGCAGCAAAAACAATAGTAGCAAAAATTCAGAAGACACAGAAAAGTATAAAGCAGAAAATCAAGATCATCTAAAATCCCACCACCTAGGGACAACCACTGGTATCAGTGTGGTGTATATCCCAGAGATTTTTTTCTACATACATACATACATGTTAAATACTGATTTTTATAAATTTTTTATATTATGGAAACGGTATATTGTAATTCTCTTCTGTAACCTTTTTTGGGTAACTTAGTACATTATGAAGGGCTTTCAAAAATGTCAGTAATACAGATCATTTCAATCCTATTGTATGCTTTATAAAACATACAGATCCATGTTCCATTTAACCAAACTTGTATTGTTAGGTTTCTGAAGGGTGTTAAGCTTTTCATTATTCAAAATGATCACTGAATGTCAATAAAGTTGAGGGAGGATTGAATGAGTCAATCACTATAAAGCACTTAACAGAGTACTTGGCAAGTAACAATTCTCTATAAATGTTAGTGATTTCTTGAATACTGTCTCCTATGTAAACAGTGAACTAATTTACATTCCCAATAGCAGGGTAAAAGAGATTGATTTTTCGAAATCCTTGCTAATTCTTTCAAATTCAGCCTTTTGTATTTCTTCTATGAATCATTTGTTCATGTTCTTTGATAGTACTGTTGGATTCCTTATGCTTTGTAAATTTTAGCTGATTTCTGTACTGGGAATATCAATCCTTTGTTATAAAACTAACAGGTACTTTTTTTCCTCAAAGAGAATTAACTGGGGGAGGGGGGGAGGTAGGATGGGGAAAAAGGAGAAACATCTGTAACAAAAATAAATGAATAAAAATTGCACACAAAAAAATAATTAACTCCAGACTTACCTCCAGTTCCTAGGACCTTCAGGAGCTCAAAATTTTCAATCCCCACTTTCTCTGCATGTCCTGTTAAATTTGCTAAAAACCAAACAGAAACAAAGAAATATTTAAAGGAATCAGCAACAGGGGGCTTCTGAGATACCAGCAATATTTTATTTCTTAACTTGGGTGGTTAAGTGTACAGCTATGTTTTCTGTAATTTTCTGTATGCTGTATATTACAATAAAACTTCATTTTAGAATTTAGTAGCTACACATTTTTACCAAAGTTAACATAAAAATAAAGTATTAAGACTCTCTACTGACCAATATAATCTGAAAATAAATATAAATTTAATTTGTAGATAGATATGTAGTGGGAAAAAAAAACTGAACATATTTAGAAGATGTATTCATTTATTCAACAAATATTTACTGAGTATCTACTAAAAACCATCACCAGGCTCTGGGCTGGGATCTACTCCTAATTCCTGCTACTAATCACTTGAACATGATTTAGCCTGAATTAGTCACTTGACCACCCTGTGCTTCAGTCCCCTCATCTCTGAAATGAGAGCCCTGCTCTCAATAAACTCTAAGATCTCTGCCAGGGCTAAAGTTCTAGGTCTATGTTTAAAAATATAAATTCTTCAAAACCATGTTCTGTTCTATATACACAAAATTAGAATATCTTACAAATGAGCATTTTCCAAAGTATATTCCATTGAATTCTGGGGGAAAGGTGTCCTCAACTAAATAAACTTGAAAATTGTTGGCTTACCGTTAAACAGGTTTCTTTACTAATGAACTTCACAGATCCTGTCCTATGAAAATGTGCATGTGATCTTTAAGACTGAGATACATTTGTCAAACTTATTGGACCACAAAACTATTTTTTATGGTGATGCCTTTTAATATTATGTGAACCAGCCTTGGCCCATTTGGCTCAGCGGTTAGAGTATGGGCCCTTGGACTAAAGGGTCTCGGGTTCGATTCCTGATCAAGGACACATAGCTGGGTTGCAAGTTCAATTCCTGGTCCCAGTTGGGATCATGTGGGAGGCAACACATCAATTTCTCTCTCTCACACTGATGTTTCTTTCTCTCTCTCTCTCTCTCTCTCTCCCTCCCTCCCTCCCTCCCTCCCTCCCTCCTTCCCTCCCTCCCTCCTTTCCACTCTATCTAAAAACCAATGGAAAAATACCCTTTGGTGATGATTAACAAAAACAAAAAAAACCCATATATAAATGAATGACGTGAACCAGCTTTCTGTAGATGAGGTTAAGCAGGCTTGGTTGGAGTTCTTGTTCTACTACTTAAAAGCTGTGTGACCTTGAACAAATTACTTAACTTTTTTGTCTCAGGTCCCTCTAGTGTCAAATGGACATAATTAAAATACCTACCCTCAAAGTGTATTGAGTATATTGATGTCTGCAATTTACTTTGAAATTCAAAAAAAAAGATGGATAATGGATAAATATAGGTATGGATAGATATGTGATAAAGCATTACAACAAAATGTTAGTTACAGAATCTAGTTAGTGTAAGGGTGTTCAACACACAATTCTTTCAAATTCTCTATATATTTGAAAATATCCATAATAAAATGGCAGAAAATAAAATAACACCTACCTAATAGAGTTGTGATGAAAATTAAATGAGTTAAATTTAGACAGTGCTTGCTATGTGCCAATAAGTAGTATTATAAATGTTTATAAACAGATTGATGTTTTTGGACTATACCTTCAAGAAAATTAGAATTGCTTTCATAGGAAATTAAGAGATCACAAATTAATTCTACTTTGCTCTACAAAGTATACTATCTAGGGAACCCCGGTCATTCACAAAGATCTTTCAGATGATCTATGAAAGGCTGTTTTGTTTATCATCTGCTTCCTCTATTATTTGGTTTCTGAAAGAAATGAACACTTTACCTGCAAGGGGAACTCAAGCAGGGCTCGAGATGACGGGGACTGATGCGCTCCGTACTTGGGGGGAAGGGGTGGGAGGGAAGGCTTCCAGGTGATAAGGATGTTAGCTTTGGTTTCTTCAAGGTGTTTTCTTTGGATTCTCCTCTCTTTGGCTTAGCTGCTGAGAGTTTATTTACTGTGGGTATTGCTTTTCTATCAAGACTGTTCCCAGGTGGCTGGTGAGGTAAGGCAGAACTTGAGAGAGGTTGTTCCCTTCCTGATACCTCAAGCCCCAGGTCCTAGGAAAACCCAATGCTGGGCTTGCTAAGAGCAGCCCCAGGCTTAAAAAAACACACTCATTTGCACCTCAAGTTTCTCCTGGAGTTTAACATTCCCGTCCTTTTTTAGGTTAAGAATGGTGAGATTCCAGTGAATACGCTTAGAGAGTATCTGTTTAGGGTGAAGTGACCAACACATGTTAAGCAGATCCATGTGGTCCAGCGCAGCTCAGCTCACCTTCAGTGTGGCGTACGGTACCAAAGACCAAGCCTGCCCATGAAGCTTTACTTCATTCTGTCTCCTGTCTTAGTCTCACGTGGGGACCTAGCAGCTGTAACTGCAACAGGGTAGGTTACAGAGACCTTAATCCTGACAAAGCTATGATCTGGAATTGTCAGACCATTCCTTTGGTTCATGTCTTTCTGCTCTGAAGATATGAAAAAAAGTAACTTTTTTTTTTTTATCCTCACCCGAGGACATTTTTCCATTTTTTGTTCAGGTAGAGTGGGAGGGAGAGAGAGGAACAGAGAGAGAGAGAGAAACATCGATGTGAAAGGAACACATCGAGTGGCTGCCACCCGCACAACCGACCAGGGCCGGGGACAAACTGCAACCAAGGTACATGCCCTTAGCGGGAACCGAACCCGGGTCTCTCAGGTCGGGCCGACGCTCTAACCGCTGAACCAAACCGGCCAGGGCAAAAGTAACTTTTTTATTTAGAAATATAAATATATAAATAAATAAAACCCTGGCTGGTTTGGCTCCGAGAAATAGAGTGAGGGCCTGCAGACCAAAGAGTCGCAGGTTTGATTACGAGCGAGCAAGGGCACGTACCTTGGTTGCAGTTAAGTCCCCGGCCCTGGTCGGGGTCGTGCAGGAGGCAGCCAATCGGTGTCTCTCTCTCATATCAATGTTTCTCTCTCTTTCTCTCTCTCTCTCCCCCTCGTTCCTTCCCTCCCACTCTATCTGAAGATGAATGGAAAAATATCCTCGGGTGAGGATTAAAAAAAAAATTATAATTTCACTGGTATTGAAACAAAAATAATATTGTTCGCCATTTAACTCTGATTTTATTTATTTATTTTTATTCCTCATGAAGTGATGAGGAAAGAAGCAAACAGTTCATGGGTAAATTTTTTGCTCAAAGCGAAAATTAACTAAAGATTTTTGAGCTCCAGAAACCTATAATTGTCATCTTTAAGTTTTATTAAGGTATAATTTACATACAATAAAATTCACATAAATGACAGTTTGATAAATTTTGATAATTATGTACAGTTGTGAATTCTCCATGACAACCATGATATAAAACAGTGCCATCATCTTGAAAATTTCAGGATATCCTTTTGAAGCCAATCACTTCCCAGACCAGCAGTGCAGGCAACCAATGATCTAATTCCAGTCATAGTTTTAACTTTTTTAGAATTTCATATATGGTTTTGCGTTTCAGCTAGGTTTTGTGTGTATGAGTTGTTCATTTGTTTTTATTACAGAGCAGGACTCCATAGGACTGACAGGCCACAACCTGCTTTTCCACTCACTAGCTGATGGACATGTTGGTCAGATTCATATCGTGTGCAGTTTGGGGCTATAATAAAGTATTTTTGTGGACACGTTTTCATCTCTCTTGGGTCAATCCCTAGAAATGAGATTGCTGCATATATGGTATATTCGTATGTACCGTTATAAGATACTACCATACTATTTTATTAAAGCAGTTGTGCTGTTCTGCATTCCCACCAATAATATATGAGAGGTTCATCTGTCCCACGTCCTCTTGAATATATGGTACAATTACTCTTTTTACTATTAACCATTCTAGTGGGGGTGAAATATCTGTTTGTAGACTTTATTTTTTAGAGCAATTTTGGGTTCACAACAAAATTGAGCAGAAAGTACGTAAATGTCCCATTTGCCTTCTGCCCCTACTCTGAATAGCCTCCCTCATTATCAACATCCCCCACTTGTAGTGGTACATTTGTTACAACTGATAAACCTACACTGACACATCACTGTCACCCAAAGTCCATGGCTTACACTGGGTTCACTCTTGGTGTGGTTCATTCTATGGGTTTAGACAAATGTATCTACCATCTGTATCATATATACATCTGTATAATGTATTTAGCATTATACAGAGTCGTTTCACTGTCTTAAAAATCCTTTGTGCTCCACCTGGTCATCCTTTCCTTCCTGCTAATCCTTGGCAACCATTCATCTTTTTACTGTCTCTACAGTATTGCCTCTTCCAGAATGTCATACGTTAGAATCATACAGTATTGTAGCCTTTTCAGATTGGCTTCTTTCGCTTAGTAATATGCACTTAAATTTCCTCCATGTCTATTCGTGTCTTGATAGCTCATGCCCTTTTGGTGCTGAATAATGTTCTTTTGTCTGGATGTAACACAGTTTATTAATCCATTGACCTATAAAGGACATCTTAATTGCTTTCAGGTTTCAGCAATTAATGATAAAGCTGCTATAGACATCTGTGTGTAGATTTCTGTGTGGATATAAGTCTTCAACTCCTTTGGGTGAATATCAAAGACAGAGAGCATGAATGTCGGATCATGTTATAAGAGTATGTTTCCTGTTGTAAGAAACGTCCAAAATGACTGCACTACTCTGCATTCCCAAACATCCTCACTAACATTTGGTGGTCAGCATTCAGGATTTCCCTAGTGACATGATGTAGAACATCTTTTCATATGCTTATTTGCCATCTGTACATCTTTTTTGTTGTTGTTGTTAATCCTCACCCGATATTTTTTCACTTGAATTTAGGGAGCATGGGAGGGAGGAGAGAGAGAGAGACAGAAACAGAGAGGGAAGAAGGGAAGGAGGGAAGGAGGGAAGGAGGGAAGGAGGGAAGGAAGGAAGGAAGGAAGGAAGGAAGGAAGGAAGGAAGGAAG